AAAAGATTAAAAATCTCCAAAAAAAAAAAAAAAAAAAGAAAAATGTAAAAACTAATTCAATTTAATCTTACACAATTTGACATCTCAGCTTACAAATCTTAAAAACTATTTCAACAAAATTGTCAAAAAAGTTTGGATAATGAAGAATAATATCTCATCTTTGTTACTTCTTTTACTAAGAATCAAACTAGCAAATTAGTCACATAGAACAACAACAATTATTTCTCTTTTTTTTTATATTTTATTATAAAATTTTTGGTCGTCATGTCAACCAATCCTCAAAGAACGATTTCTATTTGAAAGAAGTACAAAACAAAACAATTCCTCTCAAACTAACGAAAATTCTTTATTTCTATTCATTTATTCATTCTTTTACAAACTAATTTATTGTTGAAAACATCTGTGTGTAAACGAATTTCCAAATTTATGGAATAACACATTCTTTGCAGAAATTACAAATGTTAATTAATTTTTCTTCTTACAAACACTTTTTATAAAATGATGATTCCAGTTAATAAAGAAGAAAAAAAAATTTTGTTTCTTTTTGTTCTAGTTGAGGTTATGTTCCTCATATGGGGCATCAGGTTGTGCATCGTGGTGAGAAAGACGCCGTCGGAGTTTAACGAGAGTCGATTCATCTCGATGGCCATTTACAACGAATTTTTATTGTCAGTCTTCCTCAACGTCTCTATGTAAGTATCTATTTAATATAAAAGATCCAAAAAAGAAGACGGAACATTAACATGCCAACAATTTAACAACGTTTTAACTTTTTGATCCACCTAACCTCAACGTTACTTCATTGATAGAAAATACAATCATCGACAAATAAATTTATCTTAAAATAGATACAAGTGAGTGATGAAAATTATTCGAAAGAATAAAACAAAGAGCGAATTAAAATTCAACAATTCTTTTTTTCATTTATTTCATCCAAAAATTCTTCTCGATAGTACATTTAATCCCGTTATCAAAGTAAATTCAGAAGCCTGCGCAGTGTCGAAAATGCGTTCGTGGCGTGAAAGGTGTAATTACAACGTGTGTGTGTGTGTGTGTATAAAAAGAAAAAAAAAATTCTGCTGATTGATGGCATCACAGGACGACCTACATTACCGCACGCTGGATTTCAAAGTAGACAAGCCGAAATGAAACGCGGAATACGCGTGTCAAAACAAGATTAATAATAAAAATTTGCATTTCGTTTTTCATTTCGAGAGATTATTATAAAAGTTTATCGACGTTCGCCCCTATGCAAATTTTTCCGCGCGAAAAATTAATAGGATTCCGAGTCTTTCTTCTGATTACCTCCATTATTATAATTCAGTGAATAAAATTTTCATCTGTCAAACGCTCGAACGAAATGTGAATGGGCAGTATAGTGTATCCGTGTATACGACGCGATCACGCGAAAACGTCATCGGATTTAATGCTCGTCGAATATTCTCTGTTCCGCGAAACTGGCAACATACGAATCGTTAATTTTAATAATGTATCCATCCCTCTCGGATACACCCCTCACGTCCGTGCCCATGTCGCGAACTGGAGCAGAACACCGGAACTTATTATGCCTCGATGCCACTGTACACGCTTCGCATAAATAATGTTAACCCGAAGAACTCGCATAACCTTTCGAAAACAATTTTCTTCGAATTCAAACATCGAAATCAAACATTGTTCGAAGGTGGAGAACTTTGCCTTCTTTGATACTCGTATATGTTATACATTAGAAATTTAATTTATATGAGTAGAAGAGGGGATGAAAAAAGAAATCGACTTCGAGGGA